CGGATATCGTCGGTCAAGTCTTTTTTGATTTATAATTAGCAATTCAGTCGACAAATATAGACATCATGCACAAATTGATGCAGTAATGAGTTACAGGTATGCCCAGTGATGCATGTGCTCAAGTCCCCCACATTTCAATCACCTTCCAACTCCTGTATTTTTCTCTCGAGAATAATAGAACTACTGCAGCTATGATCGTACATAGAACATCCGGAATCAGTTGTGAAAACCGTACGACATCCAATGCACTCTTTTGCTAACAAAAGTACATCACTGCTGAGTAAGTTAACGTGAAGAGACACAGGGTGGAAGTGTTTAACATATGCGTATTCTTCCAATCAGTTTGCGTGGAACATTCTCTGCAACGGCCGAAGGAAAGGAACGAGTTCGTTGGAGAAGGCGGCCGGCTTCAACCAGCTACGTCTTCTCCAGCATTTACACATAGTGGCGGTGGGCTGTGAGCCAACAATAAGCTCGACTTCATAGCACCTTTCAAACCGGCTTACTTCACCGGAGGGAGAGTCGTCCGTGGAACCGGTCCCCACTCTCTTGTTTCCGTCCGTCAGTCCACATAGCAGCAGTAGCACCACCACTCTGCATTCTCCTTCATGATATCAATGCCAGCTATCTGCTATCTGTTAGACAGCTCTGCAAATCATTTCATTTTTCGTCATAAGTAGTTCCTTTCACATCCCGGTGAATGTGGCGGGCGGGGAGAATAGCGTATACACACATACATATTCTTCAGTGCTAAATTTTCATTCTCGTCCTAATGATTTTTATGTGTAACGGCAATAGCAACGGAAGGGAGGCAAATAGGGTAGAGTAATACCGCAGGGTAGGGTAGGAGAAGGAAGAGTAGGGTAGGACAACGGAGCAGCCATTGTGGTGGTCCCTTGATATTGCTGACAGATAGACAACTGCTCAAACATGCGACAGCAATTTTCTACAACAGCAGCGGTAGTAGTTGCATTGAGTCTCCCTTCCCCCTCCCCCTTCCCCCCCCCCTATCCTTTCACTTCTAATATTAGATCAGTTGAGGGGCAGACGATAAGCAGTGAGATAGGGATAAGGTATTATCATGTGGTGAAAGGAGGTGAAGAGAAGATGGGGTGGGAGAAGGTTGGGAAGGTGCTGATAACGATAATAATGATGATGATAACGATGATAAGAATGATGGTGGTGAAGTAGCTGGATGTGGTAATAGGAATAAGCATTGGTTTTCCAGGTGAAGAGAGCGATCACCTCTGTTTCTTGGCTATTTTCATATTTTAGCTGTACTTTTCAATCCGGTTTTTGATTTCTTCGGAAGAGTAAGTCCCTCTTCTCCCTTCCTATCCTGAAAGGCTGCTCTGTAAAGCTGTCACATTACCTGCTCATCCATTCATCAACAACAAAGTTCTTAAATTACCATCTCATATCTCTCAGGGGTCAATGTTGTCCATACGTCGGTATGTTCACTTTTTTTGTTGACCTCTTCATGAAAACATCCAATGGTTTTCCATTTTAGTTGATCCGTAAAACAGGAATATAATCTAAGCAAGTGCTATACTACCAACCATATAACTCATCTTCATTATTTTATTAACATCTTTTTTCTCTTTCCTTTCCAGTTGGCCACCGATTCATTCCAATACCACTTTCGTTAATTGGATATCATATTGTAATTGGCATTTCTTATTTTACAGATTATGTGGTTTCCGTGGTAGCATTAGTGACAAATCCTTAAAAACTTTATGCTTTACTGGGAGACTATGCCAATATAACACTGAAATCAAAATAGCAGATCAAACAGCGGAGAATGTGGGTTGGTTTGATGAGCCGTTTTCAAAAGATATATCTGCGGCCATGCTGGCTTTGGCTGATAAAAAACTGCTTGTTTTTGCAGAGTAAACGAAGGGTTTGCTACCTCACTTTCACACTGTTGACCTTACGACAGGCAATGCTAGGATATCATCCAATTTTAACTTAATATAATTACTGGAATTTTCAGCTCGCGAATATTTCATGACTAGTCGCTGATAACTAACAAGCAGGTATATTGCGGACGACATCTTTTATTTTATAGTCAGCTGTTCATGTTAGGTCTTACGTTGTTCCTTTTCCATTTCTGTTTAGATGGTTAAGTATATATGTATATGTTTGTATATATGTAATGTGTGCGCACACACTTAGTATATAAATACTTATATATGAATTGTTTGGCGCTTATGGACGGGAAAAAGAGTTGATAAGGAAAGTGAGGTCTTGAACGATTGGTTGCTTAGCTGCGCTGATAACAACCTTTGTAGAAGCACCGTCATTTTCTCGTTATTTATAAATGGTTTATAAAATTTATATTTCAAATAATTGATAACAAATTATCTTTGATTTAAGCTTCTTCCAGCATTCCGTATTCCTATCTTTTGTGAACTATATATGTACATTCTACAAAATATGCTCTCTATTAAGCCATCGTGGAAGATTTCAACCCTTGGCATTTGTCGTTGGTTTTAGTATCGTTTCAGCTTTCATTGTTTTTCTCTTCCGTAAAACTATTTTGAAGACGTGTAAATCCAGTTTTTGGACTTAGAAACACATTAAGCAAAAGGAGTGACTATATTCCAAAGTAGAGGAGACCAAACCAATAAAACATGTTTTGTTGCCTCATTCAAATGACAACGGTTTTCATGAAAGTGGTAGTTACATATTGAAACTGATAACAGTGCTTTCGCACTTGGGTATACATTAAGGCTGTTGAGTATCCTAAGAGTTCAAAGGTATTCGCTAGAAATTTAGGTTCAAATTGAATTGAACTTTATTATGCTTATATTTTAATTCAGCCAAATATGCTTAAAATTTTTGTAAACTTGTCGTAAACATATTCGAAATTTAACTTGGTCCATCATTAGAAAATTTTCTGTCCCACTCATATGAAATTTTTGGAAATAGTCTGTTAGGAAATGTGAACATAAGGTGAGAACGAAAAGAAGGAATTTATGCTTAGACGCAACTTAATGGCGAATAAAAGTTTTGTTCGAAGCTTCAACTTCGGTTGACGAGTTTTCATTTACAGAGCACTGTTAAATCGTCATCATCATGCTAGAAATTATTTCTCCTGCAAATTTCGACTTTAAAGAATTTTCATCCCTTATCCAGCTTGAAAAATTTAAATGCTAGGAAGAACTTTAAATTTCTGTTGAACGTTTTATATAGCAACTGCTAAAAGATGAGGGTTGTTCAGAAGCAGCATTCATACCGCACTTTAGCCTAACTGCTATTTATTAAGATATTAAGATAATGAACTTCTTCAAACGTGCGGTATTTATTTTAAAGTTATGGGCAAGTGGTATAGAGAGCTTTGGCTTCAATAAGCAAAAAGGACGAGCGGAACCGGAAGTGGAGTAGTTTTGGGATACCGATATTTTGTTTTTAGAAAGGGAGGAGTACAAAAGACAGTAAAATCTTATTCTAATAAAATTAAATGAATTCGTAAACTACATAGAGTAAAGGTCAAAAGTAGGGGAACACATTCTATTATAAAACTTATGTAACAATGGTGCTTTTCAGTGATAAATTTCGAGACGTAAAATGAATTTTGTGACAAACAGTCTATGGTTGACTGGTATGACAGATAATTATTTGAAATTTGTAGTGATATATTTCTCGTGTCATCTGTTATATTTGGATTATCCAAATTGTTTAAAAGTGGAGGAGGAGCCTATAAATGAAGCGAACCTAACACCTGAACACCTGATGGCATGCACGGATTTTTTCCAAATTATTTCAGCGTCGATCTATATGTCACGGAAATGTTTATTCATCTACCCAAGGAGACGTTGTATATCATATTAGACAAATCTTTTGTATTTTTTGTGATGGACAATAGCTATTTCCAGTCTTCTTGTTTAATTTCTTTTTCATGTCTTGAATTAGATCTGGATGACATTTTGGCTTGTCATTCATTCTGTTGGTCGGACTGTTCACTTAGACTCGACCTTTGAAGGTCGTTTCTTATTGGTTTGATAGCAATCTCTCCTCTCTTCCAAATAAATGAGTTCGTTCAGCTGACTAAGTAGTTCTCGAATCACTGGAACATTTGAGTGGATGAGTATAAACGCTGAAATTACTCAGCTGAAAGTTGTAGTGCACGTTGTGCTTTGAATATGGTAACGATGGTAGTCTCTTTTAACTGTGCTCTTTTTCAGTTTCTTGTAATGCCATATGAGATATAAAAAAAAGACATAAGGAGAAAAGCCGGAACTTTTCTCGGTTTGCTAAATGATATCAGTAAATTGTGCTGGAGAAACTCGAAGATAACACATCCATTTTTTAAAAGCTCATCTTGGTTATATCAGTGTGGTATTATCTGACGCTACTACACTGCGAGATATAATCCGTCGAAAAATAATGTAGTCGATCAAATTGAAACGATGCCACGCTTACCTGTCGCGGTAGCGGCACACTTTCCTTCTGTTTGATTTTCATTGCAAAAGTTTGACAGGAAAAAAGAAAAACAGGCTTTTAGGGTCTGCAGCTGCTGTAGCAATGAGTAAGTTTGCAACAGCCAATCAGTCTCGGTGATGTTTTTATTTTCAGGTGACATATATTTTGCACTTTTGTTTTGTCCTCTGTAATATACTTTATGGTTTTGTTCTATATATTTCACTGTTTTCTTGTCATGTTTGGGTTAATTTTCTTAGCAAAACCATTCCTTTTGGTGGATTCTCTGCATCTCCCTGTGATATCTGCGCCGAAAAATCCAGTGAAATGTGTAATATCAGTAGTCCTCAAAAAATCATCAACATTTCGATGGTAAGAGCAGCTCTGGTTTTCTGTGCTGAGATCGTTAGTTTCTCAGATTTACCTTATTTCTCTGTTTTTAACATTATTTTATAAGAAGCGAACGAGTTTTTACAACTCGATTGGTTCACTAAGTTTCATATGTTCAGTGAATATTAACACATACATAAATGGCATTTGCTACTTTTCGTGTGTTCTTACTTAATCACTTTATAGTCTCAAATATGTTCATGACATCGCATTTTTACAAGTGGATTGACATTAGGGCTATTTCTATTGAATAAAGGGACACATAGTTTCGCGACTGGAAAAGATCGCGCTCTGTAAACAAGTCTATGTAATTTTGGGGTCCGGTCGTCACAAATGTTCCTTGGTTGATTTTTACTACCAAGGTTTAAATAATCAGGCCATTTCAGAGTGTTGTTATATACTTCTGGTGTGGTTGAGATCCAAAGGGCCTTGGGTAGACCTATTTTATGCTTTGGGTAATTGCAGAGTCTTCTTATTTGACTTGTTTTCATTAAAATGATCAATTCAATGTGAACTTTTGAGGTCTTTTAACTTAGCTACTTTGTATATAACTCTGTATCCATCTTTTTTATGGTAAACTTTCGGCAAAAAATGACAATTGGCAGTGCTGTTTCTCTATTGTTTGTTCGAAGTAATACGATAGTAGCATGAATTTAGACTGGCTGCATCCTTTATCTGTCTTTCAATGGCCAAGGATTAGTGGGAAGAGAGGAAATACACAGCTAATGCTCATGTAGCTTGTCCCAAGATTACCCATGCATACAATCACGTGATTGGATAGAATTGGATGAGATGACGATTCTCGTAAATTCCTCAGCCCTGTATTTTGTCTATGCTCCCCTTGGCAATTTTGTTTCTATTCCTTTGTATTCTATTCATTTCATTGAATATAACCACATCTGTTACATGTCAAATGAGTGTCATTTGATTGTAACATTAACTTACTACTTGGTCTAGGATGGCAACAAATCCGCCGTGGAATTATTTCTGTTACTACTTTTTTAACTTTAAAATTATATTGAATGACTTTCTTCTCGGCTGTTATTTTAGATTTAGTTATCTTCTTTCTGGATGGTGATACTCTAATCGATGGTGTTTTTTAATCCGCGTAAATTGTTCATAAATCTTTCACTAGAAACTAAGGAAGTTGACTGTTCAAAGAAAAGTAGAGGAAGAACAAAATAAGTCTAAAACAGTCTTTCATGTATTTTTCGACGTGCAGGACAGAGCAGATCTGGCTTGCTAGCTTCTAGCGGCACAATTATTTAGTCATCAAATATAACATGAAATGACTCACAGCTAGAACAACGCTAGTCCCTAATCTTTCCAGCAATAAAATGTTCTTGTTGGCGATTTCTCGAAACTTCTGTGTATAGAAAATGACATAAGGCAGTACCCAGTACCCAACATATATTACTGGGCAAAGTAAAGTGGCACTGGATCGACGTCATCTGCATCAGTATTGGAGAATGAGGTATTTGCAACTCCATTCATTATGAGAATCAATTTTTATGCCCTTAAATGCTAGCAGCTATTGCGATATCGAACTAAAAATCAATGGAATAAAATGTGGAAATATGTGTTAATTCATAATAGCACTTTGGAATTGATAATGTTGGTAGTTGGTAATGCTTTGATAATGCTAGTGGTTAGTGATTTAAGTGATAACTGATGTCGGAATTATAAAGCTGTTAAGCTGTCAGCAAAGTGACACCTTTTTCAATGAAGTGCTACCTTTTTCATTTTATTTGCTTCGTTGAATAGTTGCTACTATAAGATAGTAAAGAAGTGAAGTCTCTTTGACGTTGGAAACGTGAAGCGAATAATTTGCTTATCCACTTTTAATTGCGCTTGTTGTAGTTTTTCAGCTTTTTGTAAAAATTAGAGAATTTTGGACTACAGAACTACAATCATTTAAATGTTCATACACATGACCACTTGGAGGAAAGTTAAATTCATAATTAAATAAATTTTAGTTAATTACTGATGTTAACATCCCTCTCGCAAATACCAAGTTGTGACTTGAACTGCAGAATTTCAGTTATCGTATTTCAAAATAATTTCTGAATATATTTCAGTAAAGCGGGACAGTCTTGACTTAATGCTTCCATCTTAGATTATCGCATGAAGTTAGAAACCAATTCTCTGATTAAATTAACTCGTCTAAATCTAAGAGTAATTTATAACTGGCGTATGAGACGTGCTGTTGTTGGCTTAATTGATGTAGGAGAGATGTCACTCTGTTTCCAACACTCTTTTTGAAGATGACTTCGTCATCTAAGTGTATACTTTTGCGACAGAACCATCATTTCGCATCGAGCTGTACTTTTCGTTCCCTTGGTGATGTGATTTGATTCTCAGCAGATTTAGTTTTCATTGTTGCTGCTTTCCACTGATACCTGTCTCCCATACACTCTTGTGGATTGTGGATCAACTTAAGCCCTGAAAATATAATCTCTGCTAGCACATGTCATTGTTATCCCTCACCCATATCACCTCGATCAGTGTTCCAAGGGACGTTATAAGTGCACTGTTATAATTGAATAAATTGAGCCATTCTGCCCAATTTCTAGAAAGATTTGGTTAGTGACTATAATTTCTATATAACGTGTTAAAACCGGTTAGGTCATCTCCGCGCGATATTTCGAATTTCTGGCTTTCATGCTTTTGATGGGCGAAGCGCTAGAGAGCAGGGTGAGAAGAGCTTAGGTGTGGCGCTCTTGTAGTTAGTCGATTATATCCTCCACTACACACAAAACGAGTCGCATAGCTTTTGAAATCAAAAATTTGATGAATAAAGCTGTGTTGAATATTGTGAAAAAATGAGGTTATATAAATCATGGAAACCTGGTTTAGGGGAATAGCAGTGAATCATAAACTTTTTATTTCTCGTAACCGCTGTAGTCACAACAATTCTGTGTTATATGCAATCCTTCGACTTTACTTTTTACTTCTCTGAGCTAGTTTTTTTAAGTTCCTGTACCAAGTTATATTGGATTATTGTCGAATATGGTTCCTCTCAATCTTTAGTTTTTGCAATACGTACTTTTCTATAGAGGTTCGTCCGTCTTTATCGCTGCATTTCGCAAACGCACTGTTTTACGCTTTATATATTTGGTATTTCTATTTTGAAGGACATTGCGGACGAAAATACGAAAAGAATCTGCACTTTCTGCTAAGGACCTATCATGAAATAGCACTGCATTTCCGAGAAGTAGGGAAGTCCGTCGGAAGGAAGGTGTTGCCAGTTGGCCATTAACGAATATTTCCCAATTATTTTTGGTTGTCGATGCGATTGTAATGAAAAACCGGTTGTTATAGTAGGGATATATTACTGTTCCTGCTTCACTTTCGCTCTTTTCTTCAGCTAATAATATATGTTATGTTGTGATAATATAACATATAAATCAGACAAGGCAAGTAACTACTTAAGATCGTTACAGTACTGGGCACTTTTGCTTACTCGTTGATAGGCTCTTTCAATATATATATATTTCTTTTTTTTACATACGTAATTTATATATTTTAGATGGAACAGAAAACATGAACGCATAATATTTTTAATGTTTCAGAAATACTTTTAAAAGTAACGTATTTGAAAGTTGGGTGAAAGTACAAGTGCTCTATTTAAGTAAATTAATTTTGTAATAGACAACAAACATTGCATTAGCTGTATACAATAAAGTAATCCTGTACGCAACTAGACTCCTGTTTTACATTCATATTCATGCTTGTGTCAGATAGAATCACTAAAGGGAAGTGAAATGTAGTTATTGTGATTTGAATGTCATTCATCATTAAGCCAACATCTTATTGAAACTGGTCTCTTTTTTCATTTTCTTTATAGGTCAAATTTCGTTTCATAGAGATTATTTGTATTTGTAGCGATATGCTCTTCAGTTTCAGTATTGCATCATTGCATTTCTGTTGAAAATGAAATTCGACAATAGATGGTGAGTGAAAGTTGCAAACGTTGTCTTAACAATTTAGCCATTAACCGAATGAGATGGCTTGTTATCCAATGTGCACTCTAATCTCGAGTCTCGAATCTGGAATATGGAGTAAAAGGTTGCACTACTGAAGTAAGGGGGGCATTTATTTTGAGGATGGAATGAGGAGTTGGTGCTCTGCTTCAAGGAAGAGGCTAGTGGAAGGAAGGGCATGATGTCAAGGAATGGTCGGTCTGGCTTACATCGTTCACATACACATACACATACATACACACACACACACACATACACACACACACGCACACATATATATATATATATATATTCTACACGTGATCTCACTGAGTCGTTTCCATTTAAATTGAACAATTTCAAAGAGAGGTGTGCATGCCTATGTGAGTGAGTGAGTGAGTGAGTGAGTCAGCTGATGGAAAGCAGGCGAGGAGGGCATTGCTTGTTAGCTGCATTCTGCCATTCTCTGCTATTTCTGACGAGTAGTGGCTGGCTCATTCGTCGTTACCTGTCATCGTCGACACTATCGTCACCATCAAGACATCGTCAACTCGAATCTGATCGGCTTCAGACCGGTTCTTATTCCCTTCCCTTCCCTTCCATCACAGTAGCGTACATATGTTTGTTTGTCCGTACCGATTCTCAGGTAACTTTCCACAAAAATTTCTAAGCGGTGGTGCACTCTGCAGTCGTTATGCTTTGGATTACTACTACTTCCTTTCCTTCATTACTCATTACTCATTACCTCTCTTTCCATCTCATTCTTTCCCAAAGAATTTGTCAGAATAGAATCCAACAACGAGGAAAATGCTTGCAGTGTTTTCTCGTCACCAAGTTATTTGGAAACATTTGCGCTTTCCAATATCTAATCGCACTATTACAAGGAATTTTTTCAAAATGGAAATTTGATACATGCCGTTAACTTTATTGCTTAGTTTCATCGTTCATCGAGAACAGCATTTACTGATTTATTTTTTTTTTTAGATTTGTTTCTATTTCTTTTATTTGTTTTTCGTTGAAAATAGGTTACATCCAAGTGAACTCGTAATGCAAATTTCTCATCTAAGAAGTGCTACTGGAACGTACAAAGAGACCGATGTTAATAAAGCCGGAATTAGGAAATCAAATTAGGAAAATTCCAACTGCAGTTTAGCATTTGCACAATTTCTAGCCATTTATTTCATATGCTTATGACTGTTCATATAGATGATAACTACTACATCCTTTATGACAAGCCTTTAGTTGCAGTTCATTTATATGCAACAGGAAATTGTCATCGTTGGTTTTCAGTTTTTCCATATACATCATTGAAATTTCAGAAATCAGGCCGCTCATCCTAATATAATTTAGTCATACCTCGAAGTTCACTATACACTTTATTAAATTGATTAGATCGTAATATGAAACAATTGATGGCTAAAGGAAACAGTTTTTTTCTTTTTTTGTTGTGATATGAGATTTTTTCATAGGACAGTTGGATAGAAGCAAAAATCTTGTTAATAATTAAGGACTTAGCCAAATGATATGTTGACTTAAGCGATTATTCTGAATATCCTTTACAAGGATATCAGACGAGATTATCTGTGATTGTTTTCATGACTTTGAATTTTACGACAGCATGCATTATCCATCCTTTTCTTTTTGTAATGTGGATTATCATGTGACAGTGCCATTGAAAATTTCCTGGAATGTTTTTATTTTACAGTAGCCTCAAAAAATTAGGGAACTACTTTTCAACAATTAGTTCGATTCCAACACTGACTTTATCATTTTTTTTTTTTTGCATGAATCATCACCTAGCGAGCCAGCATGTTACCTTCCACGTCCAATATTTCGGGCCTCAACTTTTTGATGCGAATGAAATTAAGGAATTTTGAACCTATTAATTTTATATTGTTGAAGTAGTTTTTATTGTAATTTAAATTAAAGTTTAGTCCTTAACTTGGAAGCTAGAGATCATTTATTTATAACTGAAATCTGGAGTAAGTTCGAAGTATGACTGTTTGGTATGGCTAGATTTGTTGATGCTTTTACTTGTATTAATTTATAGTTTTTTTGACTCGTTACGTTTCATTTCGTTACTTCCTTCATGTTTCACAGTTCGAATTCTTCAGACTAAGCCTTAATTTCTTAATTTCATAACAGATTAAAGGCGCTGTGGCTACCTACAATTTCGTGCTGTAATTGGTCGATTATTTTTCCTTTTTTAAACATATCGAAGGGAATATTCAGATACCTTGTGTGTACTGTATTTCCTTGTGTTTCCCCTGCTGCCCGGATTTCACACTTTGTCGCTTCACGCTTGATTGCTGATCAGGTTGTGCTTTGGGCGGAAGAGAATGTTATCAGCATCTTCTGGTAATTGTGGTACTTCTGTGACAGTTACTAAAACTGCTGAAGACGCTATTACTCTTGGTGATTGCTATGTGGTAGCGTCGGATGTCATCCCAACAACAAGCTGTGGACGATTTGATGGTGATGATAACACTGGTGACAAAGATGGAGGGAGTAATGGCGGTGGGATTTGCGATGCTAAAAATGGTATCGTACCTATGGATTCTATTCCATCATCATCTTCATCAACATCGTCATCATCTGGACTGAGGCCAGTTGGAGTCATACCAGTCGAAACAGCTAATGCCGCTGGTAAAGAAGAGCTGGGGCCGGTTTCCAGGGATCGCTGTAATACTTGGCCAATGCGACGACCACAACTTGACATTAATGCCCAAACCAGTCCACTAATTCATGAACAAATTCCGGAAGAGGAAGCTGAGTAAGTTCATTATTATCATCACGTTCATAATTTTTTTACTACCTTTTCCTATACTCTTGATTTCCATTACTTTTTTTCCTTACCCTGTGCGTAAGAAAAACAGTTTCCTTTGGTAACCACTAATTAGTAATTTCAGTATTATTTTTGTTGTTAGTATTGCTAACTAGTATTGTTCGTTATGATCGCTGTTATTATTTTTGCTACTACTGCTATTAATACTAGTTATTCATCATACTAATATCATTATCATGCTATTAATACTAGTTATTCATCATACTAATATCATTATCATTGTGAAGTGAATTAAGATGAAGTGCTTTTTTTTACATTTTTCTCAGAACTTTTTTTTTAGAAATTAATTTCTTAAATTTTTTAATTTGTTTTTGCTTATTACCTCTCTTTGTTTTGTTGTCAAATTATTTAGATATAAACTATTTACACATTAATAATTATTGCAATGTTGTAATTAGATTAATTGAATTTCACCAAATTTATGAGTAGTCACGCTTATGGTCACTATTTTTCACTTTTTTTTTCTCTATAGAATTTTCTCTCTAGATTTCGAAGAGTAAATTCGCTTTTTCATTAATGGCATTAAAGTAGAGGTATACATTATAGTAGTTATTGACGAGTGTGTAGATCGGTCGGCTGTTGTGATAAGCTGTTCAAGCTCTTTTAATATCAGGAACAAAAAATTAGTTGTGATATCTCTATTCATTTTCATCATTATAATGAGTTTTTTTATAGCTATGTTGAGATTTTTGTGTATCTCATTCACACGATTAAATCTATTTTACTTTGCTATATATATACATATTGTAGGTAAATTGTTTGAGGCATACCTTCTTTTTAATAAACTTGGCTAGCTTTCAGTAGTTTATTTCTACATTTTATGATTACCAGTTGATGACATTACTTGCATTTTCTACGGCACATATTTTCAGTCGACTGTGTACTGTATATATTGTGCGGGAAAGTCATATTCAGCATGATAGCTGATATAATTTTATGCTCTCTATTGTTCTGTTCGTATCGATTTTGCTTCATTCTGTTTTACAACAAGTAGGTTCCCATTAGATGGCATGAATTAAACACCATGTTTGACAGGTCCTTTTTTCATCAATCCTTTTCGACTGTTATGCTCTCTTGACAATGGTTATCAGAACTGTTATCTGTGCTTTTTGTATTGTGTGCATCGTCCTATCAAGCAATGATTACATTTATATGGTGCATACATACTTTTGTGATACACTAATGATTTATTATGAGTCTTTTCCAATTTAGTTTTTGTTTAATTCATTCTTTTGCTCGTGCTGAAATTTATTTCTTTTAAAATATGAATATTACTCGAATCCTCTATTTCTTACACCGAACTGCTAGGTCAAGCACAGTCGTAGTAGTAAGGCAATTCTTATATTTTTTGAGATAAATCTCTGAAAAACGGTGTAAAATTAGTAACATAAAAAATAAATCAAATTTAACAGTGAATTACCAAAGTTGATGCTCACAGCATAAAATGGAAAATACTTTGGAAATAATTAACTGAGCACAATCTTAATGAAAGATTATATATGGAAAATGAAAAAGAATGAAATATGGGAAAGTAAGAATAATAGTGATGTTCAGTGAAGTGATATTTCCCGTTTCGTTCTTTATTTTTTCCTCTTTATCATGTTTTAATTCATCTTCTGAAAAATTATCTTAGGTATCAGTTTAAAATTTCAGAGATATTATTGGATATTTTGTCTTTGTATGATGAAGCTTTTGTTTAATAAATAACACATACTTAGTTTAGCTAATGAAGTCATTCACTCTCAGTCGCTTCTTGTTTCAGATCTCCGAATCATGTGTGTTAGTTATAATACTTATCTGACTACTATGTTATGCTTATTAGTTATCAAACTATGAGAGATTTTGTTATAAGAAATTCCAATACTTCACTTTTTTTTAGACTGTGCCAGATGTTGTATCGCTTTATGAGTTACAAAAAAAAAATCGAAACCGGTGTACTACTTTTATATCTTTTTCATTTTCTGCTAATGGATGGGTTATTTGAAATGAATTTAATTTTGATTAAAGCTCTATCAGTCAGTGAATTTCGTGTAGTTATCTGTAAAGGGAAAAAAGTAGGAGTACCTCATCTTTACTCAGATTGCATTTCTGTCAAATACAGCACAGTTCATTTGTTCATGTGAATGTTTGTCTCTGTATTAGACAGTATGTAACTCAAGAACAGTGTCATGAAATGGTGTTGGTCGAAGATAACGGTGAAGTATCGAGGGAAATAGGGACGGAACGGTGGAGGAAGAAGGATCGGGTGGGAACGTTTTTTCAATAGTCTGACTTGGTATGTTCAAATTTCACTTTTTTCAGACAATGCCAGATGTTGTATCGCTTCATGAGTCACAAAAAAGTTTCCCGCTGTGCTACATTGTACGCTTTAGTACAGTAAAAAGATATAAATCCCTCACTTCATATTACAATCAATCACATATCCATCGACACCTACGTAGTACTAAACATTAGACAAAATGAACTACGATGTAGCTGACAAAAATGCAATATCGATAAGGTTGTGGGTGTTCCTTATTTTGCCATACAAAATTCATAAAATATTGGTATCAAAGCTGTAATTAAATCCATTAGGCAAAATTATATCCATTCTAAATATATCTCATCGAATAACAAAAAATGGAGAAATATGAAATGATCAGTTGTTTTATATTTGGCAGGAAGACTGCAAATGAGCAAGTGTACAATGATAATTTTCTTTTTGTAACATTTCTTATTCCAGTATTCTTCAGTTTCCCTTGTTTCCCCTCCTTTCGTTTTCCACTGTTTTACAATTACCGTTAGTTTTTTCATTAAGCCACTTATGTTGGTTAAGGTTAAGAAGTATTCGAATAAAAAAGTGTTTTCAGGCAATAAGTTCTCTTTTCCAATTTGTTTTTCAGTGTGATGAAATAGAAAGATACTTTAGTGTAACAAGGTGGACTATATCACTTCTTATTTCAATGAAACGGGGAGCTGTGTTTGCACTTACAAATTTCACTGTTTTTATATGAGCAATAGGTCGATGGTGCTAGATATATGGAAGTTTCTTTTCGCTCTAGTTTGAAAACCATATGCATAGCCTACTTCCGGTTTCAAACAAAAACATAAGATGTAACATATCAAATTCAAAAGAATCGGGTGATATCGATGTAGAAAACTCAGTTTTGTAACTGTCTATTATGATTTATTTGATATCTTACATTTTTGCCTTTCGTATTTTATATTTCTTGGTGTACTCATTGCGGTATATCGTATTTTCTGCTTGTTTTGCAGATCACTTTTTTTCGTTTTGAATTTTCGGTTTTGCTTTTTATTGTTGTGATTTTCTTTAAAACTTCATTGGTGATTGCAAAGATGGAACTTTTCACGTCAATTGTGGACTGCTTTTCATCTTTATCTTACTTTTTCATTTCTATTAGTGTTCCGTTATCGTATTGTACCTTTTTTTTTTCCATTTTGAGTAAAGGAATCCAGATCGATCAGAATTTTTATATTTTTCCTAGTTTTTATATGTTCATTAGGTCTGGTAGTCGGAAGGAATAAGTAAGAAACTGGATAATTTTACTAATCGTTAAATTCTTGTACAGTTTGACGGTTTTCTGTTGTATACAGTTATGGTTTTATGTAGAACTGCATGATTAATTATTTGATGTGCAAGCTTTCATAAGCGATGAATTCCGGTATTGTAGCATCGCTCCAGTTAATTATTTCCTTTAGATCTCATCCTAAGTTTTGTATCATCACAGTCTTAAATGATATTCAAAATGAGAACTCTGCAATCAACATGAACTGCATTGTTTCTGATAAACATAGTGTTTTTTGGACTGTAACAACTATTTTTTTTTTTTTGCAAAGCTGAACGCCCTGTTTTCATATTGTTTTATCTTAGGATATGCTTTCAATTACAAATTTGAAATTTTGCAGCTTGTGTGATAGCGTAGAGAAATTGAGCAATGGTCGCTTGGGTTCAACAGCTGCGCTAATGGGTTCGCCGGAAAGTGGCTCCTTCTCACCGGGGTAATTCAGTTTTTTTCCAAAAAAAAAAAAATAAATAAATTCATTATTATGTAGGACGTCATAAAACACCATGAATAAAATGTAATCATTTTCATGTTCTTGGTTCCTGTGTTGCTTTATTCCTGTATTGAAAATAAGCTTGAATTATAGGATTTCATCACCAGTGCCATGTGGAGCAAACTCAACTGGTCCTATCGGAGCATCCGGCACTCCATCCGATGCATCCGACTCGAGTATTGCTACATCTAATAAGAAATCGACGACACGCCGTAATGCCTGGGGTAATATGTCGTATGCCGATCTCATCACACAGGCTATCGTTAGTTCACCTGAAAAGCGGCTAACTCTTTCTCAAGGTAATGGACTGGGCTTATTTCTTTATTATAAGGTATATGCCTGTAAAGCTGTGTATTAATTACTGTGTTGTCACTGTTGTTGGATGGATATTGAAGCTCACTCAATTATGATGTATTTTTCAATTTTCTTATTTCGTTTCTCTGAGTTATCCCCTTTACAGTGTATGAATGGATGGTGCAGAATGTTCCGTACTTCAGAGATAAAGGCGATTCCAATAGTTCTGCCGGTTGGAAGGTTTGTCTTTGGTCATTATTTTCCTTTTTTATGTTGCAGTTTACAATAGATTTCTTAAATTCTTTAATGTCGTTTCAAGATGATAAGAACATTTGGGAGTACACTTTCAAAAATGCTGATATATAATCTTGAAATTAGTCGTTCTGCGAGTATTCATACACATAACATTGGTATATATATATATTTTCGATGACTCGAAGAGTGAGATCTCATGTTTTAAATCAGTATTTCTGCTTCTCTTTCCTTTATCTGAAATTGCTTTTTGATTCCGAAACTGAAACTCGTTCAACCTTTAGCCTTCGAAATTCATTTCCCATAGTTTGACGTTTAATCGATGATTTTTGATGTTTTATGGACGGACATGTAGCAGAAAATAACTAACATTAAATGCCTCCCTCTTCTCCACCATCATAACAACAGAAGTGATTGTGTCTCTCACATCAGCTCGTCCCTATTGAGGGAATGAGAAAAGGAGAAGATGGGAGAGATGCGACATGAGAAATAGATTGGTATTGGTTTTCGTTTCGAACTTCAGGCTTTTTCGTAGCAGAAATATCGAACAGAGAGGACCGAATATGCCATGGGGACGATTAACGATTAAGGAGTTCATTTTAGTGCACTTTTACTGACAATCTATTACAATAAGCACATTTACACAGCTGAATGAAAGAAGGATGGAATTATTGGTTGAAATAAGGTCATATCGCTGTTGTTGATTTTGAAACTTCCATCTCCATTTTTACAGAAACGTTATAGTTTAGCTAGGCCAAAATGTGAATCATAACTTTCAGAAGTATCTTCTTGTGGTATTAAATAGTTGCATCTTTGAAACGGTCCATCAGTTTGATGTATACTTTGAAGTAGAGATGGGATGTATTTCGGTACTGCTATTAATCAAATTATTACAAAAACTATTACTAATCTGAGTGACACAGCAAGCTGCTACTACTTTGTGCACTCATCACCTGAGAAAACGGATGAGAAAAAACGGAGTCAAAGAACCCGATCCAGTCCTTTGATATTTTAACATATACGAGGGGACACAAATGCAACTTTCGTTGGAACTGATTTTATTTATTATCAATAATAATACCAGCCCAGGAAGTAATAACAAACTTGGAAAAATGTGACTACGGAATATTGCTAATGATTGTGAAAAGTTTCGAAATTTAGTAAGGAAAGAGAAAGAAGAGATGTTTCTGAAAATTAGGAGAACAAATCTTGAAGTCGTTTCGTTTTCAAATGCAAACAGAAAATGTAACTGACTTCTTTGAAACTAATAGGAGTATGTGTGCGTTCTTCGAATTATTGGTTATTCAGTGGGACGAAAGCTTTGGATGACCTCTGACAATCCTTCCCTTTACCTCCAGCAATCGATAAGATGTTGCAACGATTTGCCGTTATCTTTAATGCTTGCAGCTTGTTTTCTTTTCGTTGATGTTTTCAGATAAACTTTACTGGTTCATCTGAACTGCGTCTGCTTTTCTTTTTAATCAAAAATTAAGAACTGAACAAAATGACTGATTACAATGCAGAAAAAATTCTGATATTAAATTAAGTTTGGTAAAGCTTGAGAGGGCGATGAAGTGCTGAAAATGTACCTCCACTGTCATTGTTTTCAGTATTAACTTTGATTACACATGCAAGTGTGATCACAGACGGATTTGACTTAATCAGATTTGGCATACTATAGGATTCGTGTGTTCTGTAGACTGCCAGAAATTTTCTAATGGCCTAGGTGTTAATAGGGCCAAAGAGGTAATGATTGATTGACCATTCTCTAGCAGTGTAATTCCTCAACTGTTGCAGTTCGACGACTGTGTTTACAAGTTCAAAGCGATATAAATGAACAAACTTCTTTGAATACCTTTTAAAAGTTCATTTGTCCCTCTCTATCACTCATATTCATTCTTTATTCGCTCTCCATTTAGTGCCTTAATGTCACCAACATACCTTTACAAGGTCTAATTTTTCCTCACTCCCCCTTCATCATTTCTTTCGCTTTTTTGGATATTTGCCTCTGTCTTCTTCTCTGACCTCTTCGCCAATGAATATCACAAAATTGTTTTTCCTCTTTTGCTCCATTTCTCTCCGCTGTTTTGCTAGTTGGACGTACGAAGAAGAGAGGCTGCTCTAGTGAGAATTGGAGGGAGGTCTATCGGACATAAGAAGAAGGGTCAACGGACCAGGACTCGACCAAAGGATAGAAGAGTTGCTGTACATCACCGAGTGACCAGCGGATCGTCCCGCTGGGCATACCCTTATTCATCAGCAGCATCTCGACCAGAACGCTAACCGTTATCGAGCGGCCGAAGGTCACTCTACCTATCGGTGCACTTTCTCCATCATACATTCTAAATTTTCGCTTTTTATTGATGTGGTCTGTGATGGATTCCGTTCTCCTTTCGGATTTCGGATTTCGCTGAAATAATCGTTCCTTTTATCATTTATATTCTAGTAGTGGACATTGCTGCCATACGAAGGACAACTTATTTTGCTGCTGACAACTTCTGTTACTATTACTGTGATAAGCATCACGTCTAAAGGCAAAACTTTCTATACTGTTTCCTTTTATTGTATAGGCTTCTCGGGATTACTTCGCTTATAACTTGTCTTCGAAGAAAGTGCAATGGAAGCAAGAGATTCAGAGTTGAATGTGGATGATTACGCTGAATTTGAACGACGTGGGCGCTCACATACTTGGCCCGAACGTCAGCTAATTCATCTTGAATTGGGTACCGTTACGATTGGGGCGACAGATCCAGGCCTGTCATCAGGAGGATATACACCCGATCTGCTGTCCCATGAATCTAGCACAAATATCAGTACTACGTCTAGCATAAGTTTAACTGAGGCATTAAAATCGAATCTTAGCTTGATTCCAGAACGGAACTGCACCCAAGCGTTAGAAACAACCTCAAAAATAGGCTTGAGCAGAGGAAAACAAAATACCGTCTTGTATTCGAAGAAAGTTCCATTCCGGACACAGAGTGACATGCGGCTTTCAGTCAGTGAGATGGACAACATGAAACCGAATGCTGCAGCATCTTATCCAAGTTTATCCCATTTTTCAGATGCTTTGCCAACTCTATTACTATCATCGTCAGCACAAACTCAGTCTCAAGTAGTATCACATCCCAATCTTAACGCCAATCAAAACAATGTTCCATCAAATGGTTGCGCACAATCCTCCGTTTTAAAGTTGGCTTCAGCAGCAGCGGACACATCAGGATTGATCACTCTGACTAGTTCAGGTGAAAACCTGTCAGACAGTCCGATCTCCTCACCAACACATCTCATGATTGATGGTTCAGTCCAAAATTTAACTATGGCGTCTATTGATCTACAAGCAGTGCCCAACTCAGGTTCACAATTAGCGGACAACCATCGCATGGCTATCATTAAGTCTTTGACATCTTCAGATGCTCTCAGCAGTACTGCTTGTTCATCATCTAATACCTCAAGGAGCTGTACTAAGGGATTAACACCTACTGTCGCAGATTTGGATGTTACCCTGCCGTACTTCTGTGCACGTACAAATACTGTCGATGAGTTGGTTGACAATGATCCGGAAAATCCTGAAGAGCAGAGGCCGGTTAAGAGAAAACGGGTCCGGAAAAGATTGAATGGTCTTATTAGTATAAAGAAACCAAATCCTTGGGGTGCGGAGAGTTACTCAGACTTGATCGCTAAAGCGTTGAAGAGTACTTTTGATGGTCGAATGAGACTGAACGAAATTTACAACTGGTTCGCTTCCAATGTACCATATTTTGGTAATCGTACAAGTCAGGAGCAATCAGCAGGGTGGAAGGTAGAACTTTCTTTAATTTCAAATCTTTTAGTTTGATAGTGTTAAAGTCTGTCTTGTTATTTGATTGCGGATGTCGTGATTTCTGTTATTCAGTGTTTTCTGAATTCATAATTCCTATCCAATTTGTTGCTATTTTCTAATTTTTTTTTTTTTTTTTGAATACTTTTCCATCCTAGAAATCTTCATGTAAAAAATCTGGTTGTTGAACTATAGAAATAGCAATGATATCTGACCCATCGTTCTCTTTGTTTAGTATGTAGTGAGCGAGGCCTTCGAATGAAAAATTTAATTTACACAGCTTATTTACATTTCTGCATCGTAATCTTACTTGTTTTTTTATAAGAAAAATTTGAAAGTAATGTCCAACAATTTTGTGTTTTACAGCTCTATGTTTCAAATGGCAAATAATTCAAATTTTCATAATAAAAGAGTGAAGTATCAATGATATTTATCATGGTCTTTTCAGAATTCAATTCGGCATAACCTTTCATTACATAGTCGCTTTATGCGGATACAAAATGAAGGTGCTGGGAAGAGTTCTTGGTGGGTGATCAATCCAGATGCGAAACCAGGTAGGAACCCGCGAAGGCAGCGATCTGCAACATTGGAGACAACTACAAAAGTATACTTTCGTTATAGTTTTCACTTTTATTAAGTTAATTTTCTTTTTTTCTTTTGGGTGGGGGGGGAGGAAGGAGGATGGAAAGGACTTCTTTGTCAGTCTTATGGATGGAAAAGTGTGACATAATGTTGCCTTATGCGTAGTGATGAATTGTGTACACTTTTTACATCCTGTAGACACATGTGTTTGATTGTTTATAGGAATTTTCTATTCGGAAAATTTGGGCTTTCACTTGGTACAAGTGACAAAAGTTAGATTTTTCATGACGACGAATATAATATGCATTAACGATAGGAAAAAAGGAAAGAAATAGAAAAAACAGTCTTTTGTGCTAATCTTTTGTGAGAACTTGATATATCAACAATACAGTGTTCGAAATGAATAAAACAAAGTATTCCGCAGTGAGGGATTTTCACTACTTTCTCGATAATTGCCAGATCTAATTAAATTTTATCGTAAAAAATTGTTCTTCAGCAGTGATAAAATTTGGTGATAACTATTGTTGCTTCAAATTTGATTTTTGCAAATTATAACAAATTCGCAGTTAAGGTAGCGATGGACAAGAAACGACGAGGTGCACGTAAGAAGGTGATGGAAATGCGCGCAGGTGCTGGAGGTGGTACTTTACATAGCGCTGGTAGTTCGATTGTTGGTTCGCAGGTAGCGTTAGTTATCGATATTATGGAAACTTAGATTTATTAATTTTAAGAAAGAGATGTGGAATTTGCATGCAACAGTTTTGCGACTACGCTTCCTAGCAAAAAAATATTCTAACAGAGCTGGAGAAATTCTTTACCGTGACAGAAATTTCAAAAGTTGTGAAGAAATGATATCTTGCTTTTTCAGACGTCGGTACTGAGCCGTGAGTTATATACTGGTGAAGAAGATTCATCGAATTTTGAACCTTTCCGGTTAATATTATCACCTTCACTTTTCATTCTTTGAATACATTCTTCGGATTTTTTGTAACAAAATGTTTATATTTCTCTATTTTATCCTCTATTTGGGAGGATGTGCTAACTTTTGGACGCGGAAGAATATCGTGAAAGTTTCACCATCTTTAAATATTGCCATTTATCAATGCAGATTTTATCTTCCGGGAAAAAGATGTTGA